TTTATGTCAGATTATGAGATTCTTTTGGTATTTAGACAGTTGAAAACTAAAAAATTAAGGAATTTATAATATATTAAACAGTTGCATATTGTTTTCAAAAAAAAAAATGCATTCTGAGTATGTTGATACCAAAAGCTTTTCTAAGGAAATTACTGTCATCCTATTATTTCTAAAATATGTACATAAACATTTCTGTGGAAATCCTTCCCTTAAATTGAACCCCTGAAATACTTTAATAGAAGTCCCTCTCCTTAAATTGAAGCAAACTGTAAGCAAAATAAAGATATGTAAAGCCTAGAAGAAGAATTATCATTTCATTTTATGGCTCAAATTATATCTAAACATACATTATAATTTATTTGCACTGTTTTAAGTACTGGTTATATAATCTACACCAGAAATATGAAGGGCTATAAAAATTTATGTCTCTCCTGACAATAATTTGAGGCTGACACACAGATTGTAGATATACTTGAAGATGAAAGTCGCTCAGTCGTGTCCGACTCTTTGTGACCCCATGGACTGGAGCCTGCCAGGTTCCTCTGTCCATGGAATTCTCAAGGCAAGAATACTGGAGTGGGTAGCCATTCCCTTCTCCAGGGGACCTTCACAACCCAGGGATTGAACCGAAGTTTCCTGCATTGCAGGCAGATTCTTTATTGTCGGAGTGACCAGGGAAGCCCATAGATATGCTTACTACAGCATTATTTGCATAACAAGGAAATAAGATATTTTATTATTTTTTATGATTATTAAATATTATTTAGTACTTTAATTTTAAAAACACTATCTTAAACATTCACTAAAAGACATTAAGCAAACGATAATGAACATGATTCCTGTCCTCAAGTCTGTAGGGAAAAGAATATTCCATTTGTTTATTCCTGCCCTACCATCTCCCTATTGCCCTTTTACAGTAAGTTGACTCTAAAACAACATATCAGTCTTTAAGTAGCTGCCTACGCTTTTAAAATTTGTGCTCCAAAAGCTAAAAAATAAAAAAACTTTGGGTTCAACTTCAAGAACACAGATATGTGCCTGTCTTTTTCTATTTAGTTATTTAAGTATTTCAGTTCAGTTCAGTCGCTCAGTCATGTCCTACTCTTTGCAACCCCATGGACTGCAGCACACCAGGCCTCCCTGTCCATCACCAACTCCCAGAGTTTACTCAGACTCACGTCCATTGAGTCAGTGATGCCATCCAACCATCTCATTCTCTGTCGTCCCCTTCTCCTCCCACTTTCAATCTTTCCCAGCATCAAGGTCTTTTCAAATGAGTCAGCTCTTCACATCAGGTGACCAAAGTATTGGAGTTTCAGCTTCAACATCAGCCCTTCCAATGAATATTCAGGACTGATTTCCTTTAGGATGGACTGGTTGGATCTCCTCGCAGTCCAAGGGACTCTCAAGAGTCTTCTCCAACACCACAGTTGAAAAGCATCAATTCTTTGGTGCTCAGCTTTCTTTAGAGTCCAACTCTCACATCCATACATGACTACTGGAAACACCATAGCTTTGACTAGATGGACCTTTGTTGGCAAAGTAATGTCTGCTTTATAATATGCTATCTAGGTTGGTCATAATTTTTCTTCCAAGGAGTAAGCATCTTTTAATTTCATGGCTGCAATCACCATCTGCAGTGATTTTGGAGCCCCCCAAAATAAAGTCTGTCACTGTTTCCACTGTTTCCCTATCTGTTTGCCAAGAAGTAATGGGCCCAGATGCCATGATCTTAGTTTTCTGAATGTTGAGCTTTAAGCCAACTTTTTCACTCTCCTCTTTCACTTTCATCAAGAGGCTTTTTAAGTATTTCAGACCTTGTTATCTCAAAATCCTCCATTCTCATGAATGTCTATTTTCATGGTCTTAACCACCAAATCTTTATATATTGGCTGTACTTTAGTTTTGTCATTTAGCAAACTCCTTTTAAGTATTAGCTACGATGCTCCCACTCTCTGACACTTTCCTGTAACCTATCAAAGGGACATCAGCGCTTCTCTCCTTAAGTCCTATTTTATGCATAACTTGGATAAAGTCATCCTCTCATTATTGTCTACAAATCTATTTTCATTTTCTTTGTTTCTTCAAGGCTCTGTGTGTGTTTTGTTTTAGGTCTCAGGGTCTGACATGTATATGTGAAAGTGAAAGTGTTAGTTGCTCAGTCCTGTCCAACTCTTTGCAACCTCATGGACTATCTCGCTAGGCCCTTCTGTCCGTGGAATTCTCCAGGCAAGAATACTGGAGTGGGTAGCCGTTCCCTCCACCAGGGGATCTTCTAGACCCAGGGATCGAACCCAGGGCTCCTGTACTGCAGCCAAATGTGTGTGTGTGTTTTGGTTTGGGCCTCAGGGGTCTGACATGTATGTATTAGCCATTAGCACATTTAGAGCTTTCACAAAATCTAAAACACTCCTTTGGCTTAGATTCAAAGTGATCGTACACAGAACACACTGATATTTTCCTAGCATCAGTTAAGTGGTTTTGCCAGCAGGATGATTTTTGCAATTGGTGGTGGTTGTTAGTTGCTAAGTCCATGGGATTTCCCAGGCAAGAATACTAGAGTGTCAAATGTTTACCCCAGAAAATGTTTATGTCAAAAACCACATAAGTAGGTATTTATATTGTGAAATTTAAAGATTATCAGTCCAACAATGAATTTTCAGGCTGTTGCTCTGATTATAATGACAATTATCAAACTGTGAAGTTTTATGAGGGAATGAAATCTGTGGTAAAACAACTCTGCTGGAAGTGTTCAGTTTCTTAACTTCTCAGGGCCTTTACTGCACCCTCCCAGTCCTTTGAGGAAACAAACCTCATATCTGAACCTTAAGTTTTATCAGAGGTATTTTGGAGGGCTTCCCTCCTGGCTCAGACAGAATCTGCCTGCAATGCAGGAGACCAGTTCGATCCCTGGGTCGAGAAGGTTCCCTCAGAGAAGGGAAAGACTGCCCACTCCAGTATTCCTGCCTGGACAATTCCATGGACAGAGAAGCCTAGCAGGCTACAGTCCATGAAGTCCCGCAAAGAGTCAGACATAACTGAGCAACTAACACTTTCACTTTCACATATACATGTCAGACCCTGAGACATGTCAGACTTTTGGAGGGAAGGTGGTGGGGGAGGGTAGCATACATACTAATATCTTGAGCATAGTTTAGAAAATGCTTACCCAGAAATTCTGCTAGAGATGGCTTTTAAAGCAAATAGAAAAAGACTTTGTTGAAATATTTTCAGATTATCAAAGTCTATAAACATGATCAGATTGTAAAATGATGTTTCTTTTTAAAGAATATTCTAACTATGTCAGTTACCCCAAATTGTTTCAGCTTTAAGAGAGAATAACTTATTTTATGAAGAACAACAGCAATAATTGGACATCGGAATAAATGGAAGAGCACTATTCATTTGAAGAGTCAATCACTGATACTGTTATTATTTAAAATGCAAATTTCGCTAACATATTCATGAGCAAGAAAATCATCCCTGACATTCAGGAACTAGCCTGATACAGCTGGACTTGAATGTTGTCAGAAGATGGCCGGACACAGGTTTCCTATTGGACATAAAAATCTCATAGAACAGGATCAGGCAAGAACACCCTACGACCACACTGATGTGAAGGGGAAAAATAAGTAATACCAGTTCATAACTTTGTCTAAGCAAAGACAAAAACAAGGTCACGTGTTAATAATAACTCTACCCAGTAGTCTAGCATCACTATGATTGGCCAATATGTTTTCTGAAGTAATCCAATTGTTTACCTGTGCTGAGCAGACCCAGACTACAGTGGGCACATAATCTCTGCATAAAGACTATATATACATGTACTAAAAGAAGTCCCTTACTATTTAGTCCTACTTCACAAGTGTGGCTCTCAGGTAATTAATCAAATGCTCCCCTGGTGGCTCAGCTGGCAAAGAACCCGCCTGCGACAAATTGAGGAGACTGCTTGGATTCCTGGGTCAGGAACATCCGCCGGAGAACGGATAGGCTGCCCACTCCAGTACTCTTAGGTCTCCCCGATGCCTCAGCTGGTAAAGACTCCGCCTGCAACGCGGGACACCTGGGTTGGGAAGATTCCCTGGAGAAGGGAAGGGTTACCCACTCCAGTATTCTGACCTGGAGAATTCCATGGACTCTGTAGTCCGTGGGGTCGTAAGAGTTGGAGACAACTGAGCGACTTTCACTTACTTACCAAAGGAAAGCGTTTTAAATAGTCTTTGCATATAACACTGTGTTTTCAATAAGTAATTACTCTTAACAGGTTAAAACACATTTGGGTACTACGTCTGAAAGTGAGTTGCTGCTGCTTACACTGTCAGCAATTAGCGGGGAAAGTTCAGAATATAATGTAATTATCAATTACTGATAACTCAGCAAACAAAAATTAACTTCAAGTAAAATGTGAAGTCACAAGATTCAGACTTTTAATGGTGACAAGGAGTTCTGCTTTCTAAGTGAACTGACTGAATTCACAGACTTCAAATAGGAGACGTGTGGGAACAGATTTCCCACAGTTCCAGATAGTGACTATTTGAGAGTTCAATAACAGGAGCTATGCTGAGCTATCTGTATATCCCCAGTGGCCAACAGTGTCCAGCACCTTACGGAACGACGTTGTTTTTAAACGACGTTCTCAGTCAAAATTCCCTGTCTACAGCCCAATATATCCCTTTCCTCCTAAGAAGTCCGTTAATATTGTATGGTATGAACAATTCATCCGAATTTGATGCGTGACATGGACTTAACTGGATCTCAGTCCACTTGCCTTCATTCCTCTTAGTCTCATGGTGGCGGGTTTCACTTTTCAGCGCTTGGGTATGACCTCAAACGCAAGACCTTTATAGGGTGTTCCAATTGCCTAGATTCTAAGAAGCACTGCTAACGCAAAGGGCACTATCGAAGGTACTCGCTTGCGGGATCCTCCAGGCCTGCCTGCCCTTGGAGCCGCCCTTTAAACGCTCGCGTGAGCGAGGCCACGCTCGCGGTGGCCGCGGAGCATGCGCGCAGGAGGCGCATCTCGGGCGCTGACGAGAGGGCAGGCGCGGGCGGAGCTCCGGGGCCCTGCGCCCGGCCGGCTGGACCAGGCCTCTGGAGCCTCGCGGGCGGCGGACGAGAGGGCAGGCGCGGGCGGAGCTCCGGCGTCCTGTGCCCGGCCGGCTGGATCAGGCCTCTGGAGCCTCGCTGTGGCCGTGCGGAGCGACCACGCGCGGGCGGGCGCAACTCGCAACCGGGACCCCCCGCGTCCTAGTCCCGCGCCCCGCCCCTTCGCGCCGCGGGCGCCCGGCCTCAGCGCAAGGGCGGGCGGGGAAGGCGGAGGTCGCCGTCCCGAGCCTCTGGTTGGCTGCCCCCGCTTCCCTTTCCCGTGCGCGGCGGCCAAGTCCAGGCGTGAAGTGACCGAGCTCCGCGAGCAGGCGCTCCTCGCGGGGGCGGCTTCATCTCCTCGCCTAAGCTCCCGTGGCAGAGCTCAGCCCAGTATCTAGAAACAGTTTCGGTTTATGTTGTTTTCTGGACTGGTGGCAAATGTTAGCATTTATGTTCGCCTCTATACGAATGTTTTGCTGGCCACTTAACTGACTTTATTTTTCTCCGAAACGCGAGATAGTTTCTTCCCCAGGTGTTTATATCCTTATTTTTCATGCGAGATCTTGACGACAATACGTACAAGAAATACATAAAGATGATAACTAATATAGTTATATTGAGCCTGATCATTTGCATTTCTTCAGCTTTCTGGATTATGTCTATGACTGCAAGCACTTATTATGGTGAGTATGAATGTTCTAATTTGTCTTTAATCGGTGAAATTTAGAATGTCCCATTTTGAAGGCCAAAACCCATATCCTCTGAAGGGTTATAAACTGTTGTGTTTATTTAACTTCTGTGGCCTGACTTGGATTTACTAACATGGAAATAAATATACAGTGCCTTGAACGTTTTAAAGCTTTTAATAAATATTGCTTGTCATACTAGTTATACCTGTTCCAAAATATGTTTTATATTTTATGTAATTGTTACGTCTATCTTGGTGAAAAGCAAGTGAAGTGAGACATAATTTTGCAAAGCAATTGCAGTGGTACTTTTAATAAGAATATTCATAAAGTTCATCAGTTTCATGTGTCTGGTAAAAAAAATGAAAATAAACGACACAGTGTTCACATTTGGAGATTTGGAAGATTTGCCTGCTGTTTGGTCACTGCCGAAGAGCAAAATAGTTTTAAAGCCTGAAGCCAATTTGCATAAATACGAGGTACTCTGAACTCAGAACTTCAGGTTTTGAAGCTGTTATAGAGCACAAGTATGCTTTTGTACAGATTCCTTGATACCCCTTTATAAAAATGGAATACTGTTCAGTTGAAAGGAAAAGTGAAAGACAGAGTGAGAAAGTAAACTCTTTTACATGGTGATAAGTGATGGCCATCTTAGACCTTAGTCGTTTTGCAAAGAAATGTGTGAATAATCTAGTAAGTGTTTTCCAAGCTACAGATTGCTGGCTGTTCATTCATGATTTCCAGTAGGGGATGAGGGCTGGGGGAGGGAGGTAAGTAAGTAACACTGGCAGGTTAACTATGACTTGAACTAAATAGAGTAAGCCAGGATTTGTAAATTGGAGTGGCCCCTTGGGACCAGGCACCCCATGCAGGTAAGTGAAGCTGTCCAAGGCTTTTCTTTGCATGTTAAGCACATGAGAACAGTTTGCACTTCTAGAAATAGGATTTTCCCAGTTTTTTTTTTAATGTTTCACCCTTTTTGTCTTGCATTTTCCTTTTTTTTTATTTTTTAAAATTTTTATTGTTTTAGTTGATGTACAATATTATATGTTACAGGTGTACAATAAAGTGAGTCATAATTTTTAAAAGTTATGCTCCATTTATAGTTATTATAAAATACTGACTATAACATTTCCCAATTTTCAGTAGAAATGTGGGCACAGCAATAGTTCATGTTTTTTGTGTTTTTTTTTCATGTTTTTCTTGACTATAATCATTTTATATTAAAGGGGGGAGTTTACATAGTATCGCCATGAATGGTCTAAAGGAGGTTGTTTCTCTTCCCCTGTAGTCAGTTCTGCCATGTGAGCCTGAGCATCCAGCTTTTAAAACAGGAAACAAGAGTCTGGATTTTTTTTATACTAAATTTCCTAATCTTTATTGACTCAATTATCTGAAAAAAATTATGCTTGCCAAAACAAAGGATGCAACCTTTGGGAAAATCAGTTGCTAATCTTTGAATCCTGAGGTGTGTATGTAGCCTGTGGGAATGTCACCTTTTTAAGAAATCTCTGTGAAACGCAGAGAGAGGAATAATTGGATCCTGTTTAAAAAAAAAAAAACTAGATCCTTTTTGTTCTCTGCAGTTCTTGAGGTTGAATACGTGCCTCCTTTCCAAAGAACCAGAAATGCATTTCACATCTTCAAATATGTATAAAGTACCTGTTATTATAAATAGTTGTAAATGGTTCTCAAAACTTAGGACTTATTTTGTCACTCACCAGTAGGATTGTCTCTCTTGAGTTTCAACGTAAATATTTTACTTTGGTGGCTTCATCTCAGTTTCTCTGCTTACAACAGTATTTTAGTCCAGAATACAGTTATCAAAGCTTGCACCCAAGACTAACCTGTGTAGGCTTGACACAATTTATGCTCTACTTCTGTCATTTTTCAGGTAACTTTCAGCCTGTTTCTCCTTGGCGTTGGCTGTTTTCTGTTGTTGTTCCTGTTTTGATCGTCTCTAATGGGTTTAAGAAGAAAAGTCTAGATCACAGTGGGGCTTTAGGAGGTATGTTTTTCTTTTGAACGTTTGGCATATAATTGCTTATGTAATTTAAATGGGTGGTTTCTAAATTCTGAACATATGAAACTATAAATCACAATGTTACTTAGTGTAAACAATAATAAAGTTATGCCTTGCTCGCCATTCCTATTCTGCCAGAATTTCAGATACTAACATATCCTTTCAGTGTGACATCCAAATTGAACTTTGTAGTTGATAACAAGTAAATTAGTGGGATAGACTTTTGAGGACCTTGATTATTCAGCTTCTGAGCTGGATTAAATTTTCTGCAGGCAGAAACTTGGGAGCATTTTACCTTAAGATAAAGTGTGGGAGCCAATGTTAAGGATATGCTCAGTCGTGTCCAGCTCTTTTCGACCCAAGGACTGTAGCCGGCCAGGTTCCTCTATCCATGGGCTTCTCCAGGCAAGAGTACTAGAGCCAGTTGCCACTTCCTGCTCCAAGGGGTCTTTCCCTGTCCAGGAGTTGAACCCACATCTCTTGCATCTCCTGCACGGCAGGCAGGTTATTTTCCACTGAGCCACCTGGGAAGCCCATTTTGGGACGAATAGCACTTGGAAATTACTATTAGTAGCCTCAAGTGGAGTGGTCCCAACTGAGTATTCTCAAATCTTCAGGATTGTGGTGAGGACAGGCCATTTATTTATTCTTCTGGCAGATATTTATTAAGCATTTACTGTGTGCCACTCTTCTAGAAACTGGGAGTATAGCTGTGAACAAAGGCAGGTTTCAGATTTTTTGGGACTTCTATTCTTTAGTACAGATAGATTAATAAAATACATAAACCTTTTCATATACTGATAAAGTTTATAAGAAAAACTAAAGATAATAAAGTGTGAATATTGGGGAATGGGGGACACTTTTCTGTGAATAGGCTCAGGATTAACCTTTGTGTTAAAGAGGTGGTTTTGAACTGGGACCTGAAAAAGTCAGAAATGAGAAGAACTGCAAGAAGCACGTTCCAGGCTTGACAAAACAAGCAGAAAGGCCCTGACATGTTCAAGCCTGGTTTGTTTGGGAGTGAGAATAAGACTCATTCGACTGGAAAAGTCATGAGAGAGAAACATTGAAGACAGATGCCATGGCCAGATAATAGAGGGTTGCTGAGCACAATAAAGATTTCATCCCAAGCTAGGATCTCCCTGTCTCGAACCAGAGGAGTGATGGGACCTGATATGACTTCGGGATTTTCATATCCTGCCAACGGTATAAGCCCCGAAACATGAGGGTTCCCCTCAAATACGTCCTAAAGGCTGGGATCACTACACGATGCTGATTCTTTAGAACTGGCAGGTCTCGAAGCTGCCTACCCAGCCTTCAAGAGGCTGCTGATCATTAGCCTTAATGTACTGTAAACGTGCTTTCTCTCCTCTGTGTTCACATACAGCAGAGATTTTATAATGTATTATGAACTAGAGTGGGCCTTCACGGAGGCAAGATAGTCTGATAGGTAAAAGAGCAAGCACTGGAATCAGGCAAGATGAGTTAGAATAATGGCTAGGAAAGTCATGGGGCTTTGAGAAAGTCACTTAACCTCCCTGTACCTCAGTTTTCTCTTCAGAGAAGAGGGTTTTTAACATCTAACCTAGAAATTAGCATGCCATTGTAAGTCAGCTATACTTCAACTTTTTAAGGATTCAGAAGATGAATAAATGCTTCCTGTGCATTAAAAGAATCCAACCTAGAGAAGGGCAACACCATGAAAGTAACAGCTTAAGCTCCATGGCACCTCATTTGCAGCAGTACCTTTCAAAGTCCTAGGAAGGGCCCTAGCATCGTGCTCTCATGGTCCTCTTGTTTTGTAAATTTTTCAGGCGTAAAAGATTTAAAAAAAAAAACAGTGAGCTTCAAGACCCACAAAATCTTGATCTACCTCTCATTTCATTCCTAGAGTTGCAGCAAGAATAAAATAATTTCTGTGAAGTTTTTAGCTCAGTGCCTAGACATATAGCCAGCATGTATAGGGTGATTGCCACTATTAGGCACAGGTCCTCAGGAAATGATGCTCACTCTCGTTCTTCAAAACTGAGACACACTCTTTGAGTTCTGTCGAGCAATTGAGAAATCTATTTTAGCACTTTGAAAGTACTAACTCATCTATAGCAAATGATTTGAGCAATCTCTGATTGAATATAATAATATAGAGTTATGCTTGCTAGAAATGTTTTTTGTCGGGTAGCCTTGCCTTGGTTTTCATTATTTTTGACCTGTGGGAAGAAGCGTCAAGTTCTTGAAGTGCTGTCTTCCTTTGACTTCCGTGCTGTTTATTATCCTGTTTTCTTCTCTTACTTTTCTGCTCTCCACTTTGGTTTCCTTCCTGCTACCATTTCCTTTTCTGCCTTCTAGCCCTTGGGCCTCTATTCCCCACTTGGCTTGATTTAGAATTAGAAGATAAGCATTTGAATCCTGGCATTGCCACCTCTCTCTCTGTGAACTTGGCCATGGCACCTATCTCCTCCGAGCCTCACTTTCTTTATGAAGTAGGTCCCTGTGGGCTTCTTGGTGACGCTCAAACAAGAAAATGCGTGGGACACCATATCTTTTTCATCTATAAAGTCTTATACAATAAACTCCCCACAGACAGACTATACATATGCTTCTGTGTCCCATGCTTTTTTGAATAGTGCTGCACACTTGTAACAGTGCTTGGGAAATACAGGTAGATGGATTTTAAAACTCCTCTCTTCACCTAGTCATTCATTCTATGGAAAGTTGGTATCTTTTTTGTTTGGAGCTTCTTTTTCCCTTAAGGATAAAAAACTACTGTTGATTCAAAGTATATCATCATTGTTGATTCAAAGTATATTCAAAGATCATCACCATTGACTAAGTCTGATATACTTAGTCACAGTCCTAACGTGTGACTGCAAGGCACTTAAACTTCGTCTTAATGGCTGTTCCCACCTGTAACATGAGAAGGGATAATAATGTCTATAGCACTGACTCATCATGAGGAGTCATACATATTAAATGATTAGCATAGGACCTGGCACTTAAAATATATATTTTATAAATGTTAGTATTGTTTTCCTTCCACAATTACTATTATAGTCATAGGGATTTTACTCAGTTTTGCAATAGCATGTCTTTAGTGTGGTTGGAATTGAGAAGAGTTTCAGAACATCCTCACGATCTGGGTATTTGGAGTGTTGTCCGCCCCTGAAGAGAAAGAATACCTCTCGAATAAGGAGAGGATGGCAGGTGGGCTTATGTGAGAATGTACTTGTAACCTGTAAAGTGCTGTGCAGGTGATCTGCTCCAGGGAAGTGCTGTCCGGTCTAGTTACTCGGTGTTCCTTTGAACATGTCTGTGTAGACAGATTGTCATCAATATCTTGACAAGTTTAAATTTAATTTCCCTTTTCAAGACTCTCGGGTTTAGTGATTTTTGCTTTTATAAATTCATTCCTAAAACAAATATTTAGTTTGCCAGACACTGTCTTGGGCACTGAAGACTAGTGAACAAATCAGGTAAAAATTTCCATTGTCAAAGAGCATGCATTTCTAGTTGGGGAAGCAGATGAGAAGTAGGAGGTGTTTGACGCATTTAATCCCAGGAAGAAGATGCTGTGAGGGTGATGGGCGTGCCCAGCCAGTGGGGTGTTGTCAGAAAAGGCCAGTGGCTGTGCTTCATGTGGTCTCACAGAGGTGGCCTTACCTCTTTGGTTATCATAGTTCAGGTACGGTTTTCAGTCTTTTCAAATAGAAATCTCATTCTGTCAGGTACCCAGAATTGATCAGAGCCAAAGGAAATGGTTTATGTTGCCCACTGTCACAAAGGACTAATCAATGAGCCAGAGTGCTACTTTATTATTAATCTGATTAAATATAGAACTCCTGGGCCAACTGGGTGCATACATCACTGTTCAGGTCAGGCCAGTTGAGAAGTCAGCTTTATTTAGAAGGTTGCTTTTCAGGTGGCTCAGTGGTAAAGAATCTGCCTGCCAGTGCAGGAGAATCAGGAGACATGGGTTCAATCCCTGGATGAGGAAGATCCCCTGGAGGAGGAAATGGCAACCCACTCCAGTATTCTTGTCAGGAAAAATCCTACGGACATTGGAGCCTGGCAGGCTATGGTTCATGGGGTCGCAAAGAGTTGGACACAACAGCACAGACACACCTTACTGAGAAACAGTCAGTAATGCAAACGCATAGTTCAGAGAGTTCTGACCTTGGTATAGTGTTCAAGTCTGCCAACCTCTGGTTCTCTTGGCCTTCATATTCTATATTTTGGGCTAACCAGCCTTCTTATTCATTCTCACAGTCTTTCTCTAGGCAGTAGTATATTTGATATAATTGATTACATTTGAGTTTATTAGATTAAAAAATTCCAATTGTACCTTTCCCTTTTCTGCCTCCCAAAGATTATTCCCAGGCCCCTTTGGTTGCAGTTTTAGGTAACTTTCAGCCTAAAGATCTCTTCAAGAAAATTAGAGATACCAAGGGAACTTCTCATGCAAAGATGGGCACAGTGAAGGACAGAAATGGTATGGACCTAACAGAAGCAGAAGATATTAAGAAGAGGTGGCAGGAATACAAAGAAGAACTGTATAAAAAAGATCTTCATGACCAAGATAATCACGATGGTGTGATCATTCACCTGGAGCCAGATCCTGGAATGCGAAGTCAAGTGGGCCTTAGGAAGCATCACTAAAAACAAAGCTGGTGGAGATGATGGCATTCCAGTTGAGCTATTTCAAATCCTACAAGATGATGCTGTGAAAGTGCTGCACTCAATATGCCAGAAAATTTGGAAAACTCAACAGTGGCCACAGGACTGGAAAAGCTCAGTTTTCATTCCAATTCCAAAGAAAGGCAATGCCAAAGAATGCTCATACTACCACACAATTGCACTCATCTCACACACTAGCAAAGTAATGCTCAAAATTCTTCAAGCCAGGCTTCAGCAGCATGTGAACCGAGAACTTCCAGATGTTCAAGCTGGTTTTAGAAAAGGCAGAGGAACCAGAGATTGAATTGCCAACATCCACTGGATCATCGAAAAAGTAAGAGAGTTCCAGAAAAACATCTGCTTTATTGACTATGCCAAAGCCTTTGACTGTGTGGATCACCGCAAACTGTGGAAAGTTCTTTAAGAGATGGGAATAACCAGACCACCTGACTTGCCTTCTGAGAAATCTGTATACAGGTCAAGAAGCAACAGTTAGAACTGAACATGGAACAGCAGAGTAGTTCCAAATCAGGAAAGGAGCACATCAAGGCTGTATATTGTCACCTTGCTTATTTAACTTATATGCAGAGTACATCATGAGAAATGCCGGGCTGGATGAAGCACAAGCTGGGATCAGGGTTGCCAGGAGAAATATCAATAACCTCAGATATGCAGATGATAACACTCTTATGGCAGAAAGCAAAGAAGAGCTAAAGAGCCTCCTGATTAAAGTGAAAGAGGAGAGTGAAAAAGTTGGCTTAAAGTTCAACATTCAGAAAACTAAGATCATGGCATCTGGTCCCATCACTTCATAGCAAATAGATGGGGAAACAGTGGCTGACTTTATTTTTCTGGGCTCCAAAATCACTGCAGATGATTACTGCAGCCATGAAATTAAAAGATGCTTGCTCCTTGGGAGAAAAGTTATGACCAACCGAGAAGCGGAGACATTACTTTGCCAACAAAGATCCATCTAGTCAAGGCTATGGTTTTTCCAGTAGTCATATATGGATGTGACAGTTGGACTATAAAGAAAGCTGAGCCCTGAAGAATGGATGCTTTTGAACTGTGGTGTTGGAGAAGACTCTTGAGAGTCCCTTGGACTGCAAGGAGATCCAACCAGTCCATCCTAAAGGAAATCAGTCCTGAATATTCATTGGACGGACTGATGCTGAAGCTGAAATTCCAATACTTTGGCCACCGGATGTGAAGAGCTGACTCGTTTGAAAAGATCCTGGTGCTGGGAAAAATTGAGGGCAGGAGGAGAAGGGACAACAGAGAATGAGATGGTTGGATGGCGTTACAGACTCAATGGACATGGGTTTGAGTAAAGTCTGGGAGTTAGTGATAGACAGGGAGGCCTGGTGTGCTGCAGTCCATGGGGTTGCAAAGAGTCGGACACGACTGAGCGACTGAACTGAACTGACTGATTCCCACTATCAGCTCTTTATAGACAGTGTTGTCCCCGTTCCCCAGATGACATCTGCCAGTTACAGAATTAACATGTTGTAAACTCAGAAGGTAGCCATAATCCTTGTGTCTTCACTTTCTTTGGAAGCTTCCCGCTGTTACATGCATTAAGTCCTTAGTACCGAGGAACCGTTAGAGATGTCAGAGCTGGGTTGAAGAGGTGGAATAGACATGCGCTGCAGACGGCAGTTACTAAGCTAAAAGTTCAGACATAACTGGGAGATACAAAAAATTCTAAGGTATTTTTAGACTACATCAAAGAAATCATCCCTCTGAAGCATGTTGCCTTCAGTTCATTTCCTCATTCTGAACCTATCCTCAACTTGAACATTGGTTGCTTCATGTGGTATTCTGTGCTTGAAGTAGAGGGCAGCGCCTTGGAGAAGCGTGGGGCATGGTGGTGGTGAGGGAGAAAGGCAGTCTGACTGTTAGTTCACATACTCCCATATGTTTTGGCCTTCCTCTCCGGGACTTGTGTACTGCGTGCATGTGTGCTCATTTGCTTAGTTGTGCCCAACTCTTTGCAACCCCGTGGACTAGAGCCTGCCAGGCTCCTCTGTCAATGGGATTTTCCAGGCAAGAATACTGGAGTGAGTCATCATTTCCTTCTTCAGGGGGTTGGGGGCAGGGCCTTCCTTGATAGCTCAATTGGTAAAGAATGCACTTGCAATGAGGGATACCCGGGTTCGATCCCTGGGTTGGGGAGATCCCCTGGAGAAGGGAAATGCTACCCCCTCCAGCATTCTAGCCTGGAGAATGCCATGGAGTGGGTAGCCTGGGTCAGACATGACTGAGTGACTTTCACTTTTTTCCAGGGGATCTTCCCGACTCAGGAATCAAACCCATGTTTCCTGCATTGGCAGGTGGATTCTTTATCACTGAGCCACCAGGGAAGCCCACTTGTATACTACTTGTGTAATATATTAAAAAAACAATTGAAAAGACTTTAACATTGGATAACATAATAATAATCATAATTGCAACAATAATGTGATTGTTGAGGTTTTGCCACTGTAACTGCTATTTAATATTATTGCCAATGATAGTACTTAACATTTATTAAGGACTTCCTATGTGTTGGCTTATATAATAAGCATATTATTAAAATTATCTCATTTAACTTTTCACAGTAAGCCAGTGCAGTAGGAATTATTATTAATACACTGATGAGAAATAGAAGCTTAAAGTTAGGTAACATCTAGTTTTTCAATAGTAAATGCAGCAGTTCAGGTTTAACTTCAGATTGTTCAGCTCCAGAGGTGAGGCACTTTATTACTATTGGTACTTTATACAGCGTTATCCTGTTTCTTGCACTCTCAATTAAAATGTACTGAACTTAAGTAAAATGCCAATAATCAAGTAATTCAGTGACTGATGAATCAGTCTAGATCGAGCTAACCAGTGGAAGGAATTACTTCAGAAATAGGAATCTGGGCCCTTGTTCTGTTATTTAATACTTAAATTATTAAATACATAGTAGCATACTTAATTGTTTAATATCTGTTCTGTTAGTAGTGTTTGTTGTGTTATTTAATAAAAGTCTTCATATAGCAAAACTGAATATATTTATCTTAAGAGTTACAGAGAGCAGAGATTGTCCACCATGCAGTTAGGGGTGAAGCAGTTGTAGTTAGTAATATTATCCTAGCGGGTGGCCTGGATAGGGCCACAGAGGATCGCTGTGCCTGATTGTGCCCCTCACAGTCTCGGAAGATGCAAGGCTGGAAGGACTCGTGTATATGCATGAGTGTATATTTGTATGTGTGTATTCACTTGCTTTGTCCACAAAAAGCAAATATATCTCAGTAGATATGGATAGACCATGAGCCTAGATTTTGACCTCTAATATCCATTCCCCACTTTCTCCAGAGCTCCTCGGAGAAATGGCTACTTTCAGGGCTGGGGCAAAGTAGGTTTAAGATGAGCCCCAAGCATTCTGTTATGCCAGAAAGAAAAGAAATGCTTTAAATATATATAGAGAGAGATCATGTCACATGAGTACAGTTTTGTCTATTCTGTGTGTTTTGTCTAATATTGGTATAGCCACCCCTGCTCTCTTTTGGCCACTTATTTGCATGGATTATCTTTTTCAGTTCTTTTACTTTCACCCCATTGTGTTTTTAGATTTAAAGCAAGTCTCTTGTAGTCAGCACATAGTTGGACCAGTATTTTTTATCATTTTGCAGTCTCTGTTTTTTTGATTGGATCACTTAAACCATTTACATTTAAAATAATTACTAATAAGGAGAGACTTACTTCTGTCATGTTGGAGCTTGTTTTCTGTCTGCCTCTTTCTCCCAGATTCACTCTTGGATGGTCTATTTACTGAATTTTTTGTAAAGTGGGAAAAAAATCCCAGATATGAAGGGAAAATGTAAAAAATAGAAAGACTATGCTGCTGCTAAGTCTTTTCAGTCGTGTCCAACTCTGTGCGACCCCATAAACGGCAGCCCACCAGGCTCCGCTGTCCCTGGGATTCTCCAGGCAAGAACACTGGAGTGGGTTGCCATTTCCTCCTCCAATGTATGAAAGTGAAAAGTGAAAGTGAAGTCGTTCAGTCATCTCTGACTCTTAGCAACCCCGTGGATTGTAGCCTACCAGGCTCCTTCTTCCATGGGATTTTCCAGGCAAGAGTACTGGAGTGGGTTGCAATTGCATACTGTTTGGTAATGTCTTAGTTGGTAAAAATGTACATATATTAGAAATGAACATTTCCAGTTTTAATATGAAAATAACTGAAAAAATTCATTCTTTTTTTTTCACAGTGTTAGTGTATGGTCTAAGTGTAATTTTGTATATATGTGTTTCTTTCAGGGCTCGTGGTTGGATTTATCCTAACCATTGCAAATTTCAGCTTTTTCACCTCTTTGGTGATGTTTTTTCTTACTTCCTCAAAACTTACTAAATGGAAGGGAGAAGCAAAGAAACGTCTAGATTCAGAATACAAGGAAGGTAAAATGAATTACATTTAATGTCACTTAAATTAGTAACTTTTATTTCAGCTTAACATATCATAAGCTTTTAATCAGAACCTATTTAGACTCATGAAACATAAATTTTATATGAGAATTACTTAAAGTAGTGGCCTGATATAGTTTATTATTACTTTACCATGATGGCAAGAACAGCAGAATTTTAGAAGTACTGAAGTCTATCATTAATTATTCTGAAACAATATAGAATGTGGGCAGTGTTATCATCCCACTGTTAGTCATTTTAAGCATTGTGGTCATTTTTCTTTTCTTAACTTTCACAGTGTAAAGAGGAACAGTTACAGGTGACTGCGTGGCCTTCCCCCTGAGGAGGAGGCATCCTTGTCCTCCTCGCTTTCTTGTTTCACCCTAGGTGGGCAGAGGAACTGGATCCAGGTGTTCTGCAATGGGGCCGTGCCCACGGAGCTGGCCCTGCTGTACATGATAGAAAGTGGCCCTGGGGAGATCCCGATAGACTTCTCCAGACAGCACACTGCCTCCTGGATGTGTTTGTCTCTCTTGGCTGCGCTGGCCGGCTCCGCTGGAGACACGTGGGCTTCAGAGGTGGGCCCTGTGCTGAGTAAGAGCACGCCAAGGCTGATAACGACCTGGGAGAAAGTTCCAGTTGGTGAGTCTCTATTGAAGCTTCTTTTTTAAAAAAAAAACTGAACAAAGGACTTCCCTCGAGATCCAGTAGTTAAGACCCGAGGTTCCACTGCAGGGGGTCCGGGTTCCATCCGTAATCAGGGAACTAAGATTCCTCATGACACAGTGTGATGAAAAAAAAAAAAAAAGCCTCTTGATTTTTTGTGTTTATTATTTAAAAGCCTTTTAAGAATTTCAGTTTGGCGTCTCCCTTAGCGGTCCAGTGGCTAAGACTCCATGCTCCCAATGCAGGTCTGAGTTTAATTCCTGGTCAGGGAACTAGATCGTGCATGCCACAAGGAAGACTGAGGACCCCACATGCCAAAACTAAAACCCAGCGCAGCCAAATAAACAATTTTTTAAAAAGAGAGAATTTCAGTTTTCCCCCTTAATTGGAAAATGACTATACGCTATTAAACTGGTGATAAGTAGTATTTGCAGGAAGTGTTAGTAACTCCTAGATAAATTGTATGGAAACAGAGATTGACCTGCGGGCTTATCAGTAGGAAGGGAAAAGGAAAGAAATGATAGAGTATCTCTTGGGAGCCTGTTATGTGGTTAGTGCTTCGGTGTGTATCTCATTTTCCCATTGTTGTTACCAACTACTGCTACTGCTGTTAATAGTACTACTACTAGTGCTTTATCGTCATCTCCTCCTCTCTTTCTTCTCCTTTTTCCTTCCTTTTGTCCCCTTCATTATCAGCAGCAGCAACAACATAACAATAAATACATTTGAGTACCTGCTCTGTGCAAAGCAGTGTTCTAACTGCTCTCCATTATTACTATTTACTCTTAATAATCATGTAAATCAGTCCTTTTATTTTTTATATCTCACAAACAAGTAAACTAAGGCATAGAGAAGTTACCTAACTTCATCACAGTCACCAAGCTTAGAAATGACAGAACTGAGATTGAAACCAGGCAGCCTGGCTGTCCTCAACTCACTGCTGAAAATGTCAGGAATTATTGAGGAGAAACGCCTCTTTTCTAAGTAGGAGGGTCTTTGGATTGCATCAGAGTGAACCTTTTCTTTGAGTTGGTTTTGATTAGACAGGTAACAGATGTTTTGCTTCTTACTTCCTGTGTTGGTTGATTCTTTGCCAGCTGATTTTCCCATGTTCTTCTTCAGGGACCAATGGAGGAGTGACGATGGTGGGCCTTGCCTCCAGTCTTCTTGGTGGGACCTTTGTAGGCATCGCTTACTTCCTCACACAGTTGGTTTTTGTTAACGATTTAGACATTTCTGCTCCCCAGTGGCCAATTATCGCATTTGGGGGTCTGGCTGGACTACTAGGATCAATTGTGGATTCATATTTAGGAGCTACCATGCAATTTAGTGGTAAGAACATAACCTTATTATTGCAACTTATTGGTGTATTAAAGTAATGAGGACTTAGCCACACACAGTAGTAGCAGCGCCTAGCTGCTTCAGAGAAGATATATTTTAGACATATCTTAGATATGTCATGTTAATGGACAAAAAATTCTAGGACTGTATTTTTGACTAATTGTAAACAAGTTATTTTAGTTTCTTTTCTGTGGAAAGTGGAAAGCCTGACAACAGAGATATTTAATGTAGGGTTGTTTTTTTCACCCACACTGCTTGTTGATTGCTAAAGGTAGTAGTCTGATCATGACACTGAATAAATGTGTCCTTAAAACCAAAAGAAAAGAGACAGGGGCTTCCTTGGTGGTGCAGTGGGTAGGAGTCTGCCCAGCAGGGCCGGAGACACAGGTTCGATCCCTGATTAGGAAGGTTCCACATGCCATGGGGCAGCGGGGCCTGTGCGAGAGCCCTCCCTCTGCAACAAGAGAAGCGGCACAGTGAGGAGCCAGCACGCTGAAACGAAGAGACGCTCCCACTCTGCACAGCTGGAGAGAGCCCATGCAAAACCGTGAGGCCCCGTGCAGCCAAAACCGAAATAAATGTGTTTAAAAAAAGAGAAAGAAGTGGGAAAGAAATACGGAAAAGGGAAAAAGAGAGATAATAAAAACAATCCCCAAAACACAGATTGTTGAGGGAGCCAGAATAATAGGGCAAAGTCTCTAATACAATTTTGAATTTCTTATTCTTTTGTGATAAACTCACTGAAAGAGGATTACTCCTACAGAGCAATGAGTAGAAGCTATACAGGGAATGACCATGCAGGAGACAGATGCATTTGCTTATGGGATTTTCATCCCAGAGAAGCAGAATTTGGGAGTCAGGTTGCTCTTATGCCCCTCTTTCCATTTGTTTTCCAAATCCATTTAAGAAATAATTATTCTGCTAACCTGACGCTACACAGATGATGTACTTTTGTACTGTGATGTCATGCCTGCTAGTCCTGCATCAAGATACATAAGCATTTTCTCCAACATTTTCTGTGCTTTGCACCTAAGGCTCTCCTGTCATGTCAGTGTACCGACTTGTTCCCTTTGGTGTGTCTTGGCTCCAGCCTCTGACCAGCCACATGTTCTCCTTTGATTCATGCAGTGAAGAGGCTGGAAGTCTCCAGATGGTTCCCCAAACACAGTGCTCCCAGTTCTCTTCATGCCCTGGTGTAATCTCTTTCCACCAACAAAACATCTGTGCTCTCAGCTTCATTAGTCTTATCTAGATGCTGGGAGGAAGCAGTCAGATTTTCATTTATACTAAAGGGTCAGTAACCATACATACATTACACCTTTTATGTTACAGAGCCTCGGTTTTATTCTAAACTGAGTTCTAACTTGGAAATTTCTGATCATATTGAGTAGGTTGGAAAAAAAAATGTGGGCTGGGGGGCAGATTGGATTCATCTCTGTGTGCCTCCTTTGTGTGAGCACCTTACTGGGCCTTAGTGTCTATTGTAGAGGTTGCAAAGGTGAGCCCTGCTTTCAGGAGCCTTCCATGTGGTCTTAGAGGGGAGCCCCCAGGAAGGCAAGCCCAGTCTGCCAGTTTCATGCCACCTCTGCTTTTCAAGGCCTTCCTTCTCCTTCTGAAAGAACTCCAGCATTGTTGAGAGACCAGTATTGAGGCGTACTGAGACCCATTTCTTCAAGGAAGCCTTTTGTAACCACGGGTTCCATCTCACTCACCATGTAGGTTATCCACTAAAGTCATCCTCTGAATGGCCGAGAATCTTTGCAGGGTTATCGTCTTTAGAGGAGAAAGCTAGTTTGGTGGGGTTTTTTGCTGTTGTTTTTAAAATCAAGTCATTTGGGTTTTCCACTTCATTCGCTTCTTTTTCATTCCAGGTTTGGATGAAAGCACTGGCATGGTGGTCAACAGCCCAGGGAAGGAGGTGAAGTACATAGCAGGGAAACCCATTCTCGACAACAATGCCGTGAATCTTTTTTCTTCTGTCCTCGTAGCTCTCTTGCTCCCAACAGCTGCTTGGGGTTTTTGGCCTAGATAGTGAACTTTATTTCATTTACCAAAGTTAAAACTGGGATGAGTTTAGCTAAATTTGCAATTCCAAGTTTTATCCCAAGAAGAATAACTATAATGACAAAACAGAAGTGCCAGTTCCTCCTCTAGTCCATAATGATGGCATGTCACAGTTTTCCTCCCTGTAATGCATTTCTAATAGCTAATATCTTCCTGGCGAAAGACAATACTCAATTTAGCTATTTTTCTTCTGCTGAATGGAACTTGAACAGTGAAGTTATAATGTCCCAATATATTGAACTGAAAGTTCCTACATGGTAGATACAAATTTTGTTTATTTAAATCAGCAGAGGGACTAAAAGTGATACAATTTTTAAATGGTTGAGCTGTGATGGAGAAACGTCGCCATGCCACTTACCCAGGTGTTGTATTTGTTTTAAGTATTGAAACGAATGCGTGCAGAAGCCTGCGTAAGTGTAGTATCTTGGGCTTCTCCTGTTACCTGCCACACTACTGCGAAAAGTGTGGAGCGTGGCTCCTGGTGAGCTGCAGCGTCTTCTCCACACTCGTTCTTCCTTCCTCAGAGTTAGGGATGGAAAAAAAGTAAATGTCTTTTTCATGTGACCATTAGAATGCACACAAAACTGATTGTTTTTAAGTAAAAGCAAAAGAGAGATCCGAGATCTAAAAAATGTGCACCTTACTATATATTTCAGTTGGTCTCTGAGCAGAAGTTATCTTAAACTTAATAGCTTTAAGGTATTTTGTAGCCTTCTTTGAAATTTGTCTATGAATGTGGTTTACATTGGCATCTTGACCAGTGAGAGTCACTGAAAAATTAGTGCAATTATTGTTTCACTTGCTGTCCTAGAATTCACTGGAAGATGCTGTGATTTCCTCTACTATAGCCTCAACCAAAGTGAATTCTACTTTTCAGTTACATTCTTCAGTTTGATGTATGTGCTAAAGGAGTTTAATATAGTATGGATTATTGTGCTAAAAGTATTTTGAAATATCTCATGTGATTTCAGTATCTTTCTTCCCCTGCCCCTTGTGCATTCATAGAAAAATTGAGGAGAGATTGATGAATAAGCCACTATCAGAGTGGAGAAAGCTTAGAATTCTTTATTGGTGACTGCTTCAATGATTATCTAAAAATGACTTGGTTCAGGAAGAATTTTTTAAAAAACAGTTGACAGACTTAAGCCTTAAGCCAAGCAGCTCAGTGGGTCTCAACCTATCTGCTTTGTGCATACATTGACATCACCTGAGCATCTTTTCTCTTTTCCTGGAGATTTAGCCTCATGACGTTCTTTAGGGCAGACATATTTCATTGGAACCATTTTGGGTTTGGCGGAATCACCACATTGGTAACAGTTTGGGGACGTATGCTTTACAATCCTTTATTGGAAAACCAAGGGCTAGTTGTGTTTTGGAATCAAAATTTTTCAGATTTTAGACAAGTGATAGGGTAAATATAAAATATTTTACTTAAAACTGTGCAAAGAGTCTAGAAGGGCACCCATTACCAAATACACTGATATTTCTGTGGTGAATATATAAATACCACCAATAAATGTGATAACTAAGGACTCTGAGTGCCTCAAATCAGGTCAGATCAGTTTTTGTCACAGAATTTAGGAAGAAATTCTCTGTTGGCAGAGCATGTTTGGATATGATAATTGTAGACTTTTTTAAAATGTTCTTTTTTTAAAAAAATTTTTCCATGTACTAGATATTTTACTGTAACAAATAAACAATTTATGTAAAAAATGCTTTTCATGGAAGGAGCTCCATGGAGCCATTTACTAAAATAATATGTATACTGCTGCCTACCTAGGCAGCCTAAAGGCATACATTCTGTTTCTTGCCATACTCTCACACAGCAGAAAAGACCAAGGTATATGTGGCTCAGGGCAGCTTCTAAAGGAGATCTAAAGACTTCAAGGAGTATTATTTGAAGACTCATCAAAGGAAGCCATCAGGAGAACAGTGAACTGATAAGACCAGTCATTCCATTCTTAGCTTTTCTCATCCCTTAAGTTATATATGCCTTGGCCTGGGTGCATATGGTGGTGGTTTAGTTGTTAAGTCATGTCCAATTCTTGCAACCCCATGGACTGTAACCTGCCAGGCTCCTCTGTCCATGGGATTCTCCAGGCAAGAATACTGGAGTGAGTTGCCATTTTCTTCTCCAGGGGATCTTCCTGACCCAGGAATCGGTATCTCTTTCTTTTTTCTAGCTGCTTTACCTGTAGGATGCTGGCTCCAGAAATGCCAACCTCATCCCCATTAGGCATAGACGTAGTATAAAAAATAATCATGTGAGTTGATATGTTGTAAACGTTGCCGCATGCCTGCAGCTCGGACAGCTGCTGCCTGTCTGTCCTGTGGGCGTCCTGGGGCTCCACCCACTGGTGTTCCTGACACCCCGCAGTGAGAGGATACTGTGCTTGACCAGCAGATCCCAGGCGACTTGCAAGAGCTTTCAGCGTGCCTGCACAAATGTGCAACTGCGCCATGGAGTTCTGTTGCCATAGCTTCAAATGGTTCTGAACATTTAAAAAATAAGTGTTCAGTATATGTTAATTAATTAAGTTGTTTGAGCCTAATCAGCTTTCCCATTTAAGAGTCACTAAAAGTTAATGATCAGGAACATATTTCTGGAAGAAAATTAAAAAACTAGTTTGGTTACCTGAACTTTACAGGACTGCCATGATGCCAGTGTTTCTCAATCATGTGACACAGTTCTAATGGCTTTGGAACTAATGAATCAGGAAGTGATTGTAGAATGGGTAGGGTTGAGGCGGATTAACAGGGCAAAGCTTCTGAATTTATTTCTTCTGACAGTGCATGTTAATTCCCTTTCATTTATCATAACCACATCCTTCAAAACTTACTTTACACATGTGGCAACTCTTTTTTTAATGTTTGGATTTTTTTTAATGTGTAATTAATACTCTGAATCTATCCTTTTTAAAAAATTATAACACTAGAGGTAAACTAAAATATCCTTTGCCTCCACTACCTCCTCAACAAATCTAGCTTTCTCCCACCTTCCCCAAGATAACAGCTGTTAAGTAATTTGAGATATTTTCTAGATGTTACTTGTTTGGGATGTATTTTAATGTATATTAATCAGTCAGATTTTCTTATAATTTGCACTGTCATTTTGCTGCTTCAAGTCAGGTACTTATACCCAAGAAAAACCTATTTAGGAAAAATGATTAGAAGGATGTATACCAAAATATTAATGTGTTATCTGTTATGATTATAGATTATTTTTATTTTTGAAATAATTTTTCAAGTTTTTGATCTATTATTTACAATAAAGCTACTGTTAAAATACTTATACAAAAATAATGTTAAATACATCTCTGTGAGGTTTTTGTTTTTGGCTGTGCCATGCTTCTTGTGGGATTTCAGTTCCCTGGCTAGGGATTGAACCCAGGCCTCAGCAGTGAAAGCGCCAAATTCTAATCACTGGACCACCAGGGAATTCCCTAAATACTTTTCTAAAAGTCTGCAATCAAATAAGTTTCTTCTGCAAATGAAAAAAATGCTGAGTAAACAAAATAATCTCTGGGAATAACCCCTCTTCCCCACCACCCTTCCCCATTGTTGTTTTAAATGGTATTCCCTCTCTTTATAAACAGCCCTGTTAGTAATGAATTTGAAAAGTAAAATGGGGTTTCAAGCAACAGAAATCCAGTCATCCAACAGTCACCTGCTGTCTTTATGCTTCAGGCACTGTGTTCTGGATCTAATGAATCAAAGATGACTGGACAAGGACTGTGCCCTCCAGGTCTGATAAGAGTGGGGAAGACAGATGTGTGTAACTAGCATGTTGAATAAATATGACATGTGGACTGTGATTTAAGCAGCTTTAGTCTTGTCTTCTATTGGCCCTTCAAACTTCCCATAACCTTATATAGAAATGTGGACATTTGCCATGTGAATAGCAAGCTGTGAATGAACATTTCTTATTATTCCTAGAAACAGGTGGGAGAATGAGTGAACTCTCAGAGAGCAGAAAACCACATTACCCTTTCCCACTGCAGGCTTCCAGCTGAAGCAGGTTCAAGCTAAGAATGGGGATTTGGTGGGGGAAGATTTGTTTGTATGTTTTGCTTTTATTTTTTAACCCAGGTTGTGCTATTCTAAATGCTGAATTGAGACTGTTGATAAACTCAAGTTTTGCTGATGCTGGTTGACTGAATGTTTATATGGCCTCACATGTTGAAATCATAACCTCCAGTGTGATGGTGGTAGGAGATGGGGCTTCAGGAGGTGACTGGATCTTTGATCCTCCTGAATGGGATCAGTGCCTTATAAAACAGACGCCAGAGAGCCCTCTTGTCCTCTCCACCACGTGAGAACACTTGAGAAAATGGCCATCTGCAACCCAGAAGGGGGCCCTTAACGGAATCCAACCTCGCTGCCACCCTGATCTTGGGCTTCTAGCCTCCAGAGCTGTGAAAAGTAAATTTCTGTTGCTTGTAGGTCACCCGGTCTCTGGTACTTTTGTTAAACATTGGAACGGACTGAGACACTGGTGTAGAAGTGGGAAGGGAGATAGAGGTAGGAAGAAAATAAGTCTGCAATGATAGTTTTGGTTGTCTAGGCATGGCAGATGGTGACTGCATCCATGAAATTAAAAGACGCTTACTCCTTGGGAGAAAAGTTATGACCAACCTCAACAGCATATTAAAAAGTAGAAACGTTACTTTGCCAACAACAATCCATCTAGTCAAGGCTATGGTTTTTCCAATGGTCATGTATGGATGTGAGAGTTGGACTATAAAGAAAGCTAAGCACAGAAGAATTGATGCTTTTGAACTTCAGTGTTGGAGAAGACTCTTGAGAGTCCCTTGGACTGCAAGGAGATCCAACCAGTCCATCCTAAAGGAAATCAGTCCTGAATATTCATTGGAAGGACTGATGTTGAAGCTGAAAGTCTAGTACTTTGGCCACCTTAAACGAAGAGCAGAGTCATTTGAAAAGATCCTGATGTTGGGAAAGATTGAA